CCTTTCTCTCTAGAGCCGACAGTCTTTGAATGTATATCTTTTAATTTCTGCCTAATAAAACCTTTTCCATGACTCTGACTGGTCCCAAAAACTCCTTTTCTGGAATGGAATCAGTGAACCTACACACATCCTATGTTTAGGGGCACTTAAGTTCCTCAGCTCATCTTTGGGCACTTCCTCAGACCCTGCCCAGTGGCAGCACAGCCCACCTTCGCAGCTGCAAGCGCGACTCTATGTCTACTGTACAGTGAACTCCACCAACACTTGTGCACGACCAAAGTGCCACGGGGTTCTCAAGAGCTGTGTCCTCGTGGCGTCAAGCACAGTGCACAGCTTGCCTTAGACACAGCCCTTCCAGGTGGGTGCCCAGGTAGCAGGACCCCACAGACAAGCCAGGTTCAGTCCACAATATTCCTTTCTTTTGAGGGTTTGCACAACATTCTGGGTACTGCGCCCTGCCACGCACACACACACTCTCCGTCTCTCGTTCCTCTTCTCATTTGAGAAAGATCGCCCTACTTCCTCAAACATGTCCTAACAGAAGAAAATGTCTAACGTATAAAACAAACAAAAAAATCTAAAGGTTTTAAAGACACAGTAAACCTGTATATTGGGTGCTGGACCTGTCCTTTTCATAATGACAGTGCCTGTCTTTTATTTTGACAGAATCTTAATCCTACTCAGCCTCCCAGAGTGTTGGGATTATAGTCCTGCACCCTAACACAGTACAATCGGAGACTACAGGTACACTCACTGAACGTGGGGGATGCCCCAGCGCCGACCATACGCCCTGCGCCAGAGCTTACCACAGGGTGGTTGAGATGACAGAAGCAAAGACCCTAAGCTCACCCTGGAAAATTCCAAACCGAGATACATGTGCACTAGACGTCCCCGCGTGACCCACAGTAAGCGATCTTCCCTGCAGTTCACGCACATGGACTGCATGTCATGCACACAACGATAAGAGTGAATTATGGTAACGAAAATGCATGAAGAACGCAGCCGGCCTGACTCGGCGTCCTGTCAGTCACGCTGTCAGTCACGTGCTGGCAGACCTGGGGAGGCACCTAAAGCAAGAGGGACAGCTAAAGCATGCACACACCTTATGCCCTCCATGGCTCACGCCATCTGCCTTTTCCCAGCAGGAGCCCCCTCAACCTGGAGCACACTGTTTGATTGCCTCATAAACTTTGCTGCTGTCTCCTTGTTGCTGTGTGCTATGCTCAATTCTTCGTTCGCCATACACAAGAACCTGGGAACCCGGCTCCACACCTGGAGCCCACGGCAACCCTACCACCGCAGGCTTGGATGCATCTTTTTAAATCCTACCTCTTACTGACAGATCCTGAAAGTTCTTTTTCTGTGATGAAAGTCAGCAAACCAGCAACCTGCCACACGTGTGAGATAACGTTCCCATCTCCATTTGCGGAGCCTCCTCACACTCTGTTCAGTAATACAGCAAATTAGTAAAACTGTTTTCAATGGTTCTAAATATACCATTGTTCCTAAATGATGATTTCAGTGTTTCTGTTAAAATCAAGAATCAGAAAGTGATAATCCAGAGACCCAGAGCACAGGCCCGGCGAGTGAGTGAGACGACCTGGGGCCCACGGATCCTCATTCGACCCAGGCTGCAGGCCCAGAGAGGAACCCTTCA